TACTACCATTTTAAAAATAAAATATGAGGTTTAAATGAACTAAAAATTATAACTTCAAAAAGTATGTTACATATATGTCACTAGTCATAGTATCATGTATTATTTATTATACAAGTTACATTATATGTTTAGTGTAATGATATATGTATCAATAAATTGACGTTTATTTCAAATAATAGTAAGTCTTACGTTTTTATATATAATGTAATTTTAATAAATTTTCAAGACAAAATATTAAAAATGTATATACGATAAGAATACTTTTTTTGAATATATCACTTAAGTTAATATATTTTTATTTATTTATTGTAGAATATCATTAATATATGCCTTGTAATCAACTATATTATAATTATTTAGGATTAAAATAATTCGTCATTTTTATTTAATATATTGTCATTAATATACTGTCACAAATTTATTATTTTCATTGATATTTAAAATTAAAGTGCATGTTTCCATAAATAAAAAAAATAAACGTTTTGAACACATTTTTATAAGAACTCATTGTACACATTGAAATAAAAAATTTAATGTTTAATCGGTCGGCAGAAACTTCAGAAAGGAAGAGTAAAAAAAATGTAAGAGCAATTTTATTTGTCTCCGAGAATTCGGCGGAGATAATCGCCTATAGAATATTTGAAGTTGTTCTTTATACCAATTCTTTTGAGTCGGCTTTTGTCTTATGGGCTGTAAACAAAGACTAATTTCTATTAGTCTGAAAAAGGGTAGGGGGTATAGGAACCGGAATTTCAACATTCTGACCCATATGAAAACACTTCCCTCAGACCTTTTTAAATTGTATTTTAATTGTCGTTTATAATATTCCTAAATATTGAACAAAAGTTAGAATTACATTTTGGAAGAACTGAAATGCATTGGAGGGAAGAAAAATTCAAAATACAAAAAAGGAATAATTGACAAATGCATGCCAATATTCTTTTTTTATGATTGGTATGTATTAAACCGGTCGAATAACTTGCGTAAGAAGCATTCTTGGATTTTCGTATTTTATTATCTACTAGCGTTTGGTCATAAGGATAATGAGAATTTTTTTATTGTTTAATAATTTTATTAAACTTTTGAAATGAGTTTTATATTCAACTGATAATAAAAATACTCGTACATAAAAGAAATACATGTGTAATTCGTTCTCAAAATAAAAACTTTATTTGTAATATTCCCCATTTAAAAATATATTGGTTATTTGCATTATTTTATAAACATAAAATATTTCTTTGAAATTTAAAGTTAAAACTATAAGCCAAATCGCCAAGATCATAAATAATAATATATAAATATATTATTATTAAAATAAATTCCTCTTTTAATGAGTTTTAGCTGATTTATTATCGCGTTATTGGTATTTGTGGTAAACTTATCGTGCATGCATATACTTTAACGAATGATGACCGTATGGTTTATTTTTCGTATCAAAAAAATTTCACATTTTCTTTCTATGAGGTAAGAAGAATGCAGTCGTGATAAATTTGCGTGAACGTTTATGTACAACGACTTAGGGGACCACTATGACCTCTACAGCTGTCATTTATTTTTTTGATTATCTCATGACTACAAATATGAAAATTATTCGAAAAAAATTTTTAAATAAATTTGTACTGAGAAATCGATAAATAAACCAATAAGTTTATTTTGTTTACAATAAAAGTTTAACTGTATATACTGTTTAAAATAATATTTTTAGAACATATTTTTTATGGTTATAAACTATATTATGTTGCTACCTATACTGACATAGTACTATAGTTAAATGTTTTGATATTTTCTTAACATATGATCACATCAGCCTATTACTGCCCTCTCCTGACCTAGTTAATGCCCGCATATAAGTGGGATGTTTCTATTTCTTCCTACACCAATATTTAATAACGTTATCACAATTCTCCGTCTAAAAACATGTCTACATTCTCCTGGTAGGAATATAATTTTAAATAATTTAACTAAATAAATTGTTCTATTATAAGTCTTAGTAAAGTTATTGCAATTACCAACATAGTATTTTAAAACAAAAATAATTATGTACTATACAATACATATGTAGCATTTAAGATACGATCGATATAATTTAAACAATAGGTCGTTTGATATCTATTCATCGACTTTGGCTACAACTGGTTTTTTACCACTAACACCTAGTTGATTAATATATTTTTGTATATATATTGCATACATTTATTAGTATTTTGTACACGAAATATTATACTATACGTAAAAAAAAAAAAAAAAATCGTTATTTCAAATGGTCCATTAAACACCAACTAGATCAAAAAAGTTTTGTTATAAGAAATTAAGACAGAATTTTATATCGACACACCACAAAAAATTAATATTTATTATACTGTTGGTTAATAAGCACTATCTGGACCGTGTGATCACGAAGTGTTCGTGGGCGGTTACCAAGTAATAGCATGATAGTAATTTAATTTCAGTACTGGATTTTCTCTCTCCCAAGTCGCACAACAGGTGTAAAAGATGTATCTGTGACCCTCATGTATGACAGGGGATAGGTATTTTGGCGCCAGTCAACAATACCTACTAAACCCCCCTTCTTCATACTTGCACATTTTATTTCTATTGTGTGCAGCAGGTTTCGATTATTAGTGCCGAGAGGTAAATACCCGCGAGAAAAAGGGTCTTACATCATATAAGTATATATATATATACGGTTATATTCACAAGAAAATTAAATGTAAAAATATTAGAAACAAAAATAAGTAAAAATTTAAAGAAACAATTTTTATTTAAATATAGTATTCTGCTCAATTATTTAAAATACAAGTGTACGATGAACGATCATTATAACCCCAATAAGTTAATATCTATCTGTTCTCCGTATCATGGTTTATGGCCAAACCGTGCCTCAGCTCCATGTAGCCGCCAGTCAGCTTCTGAACTGATACACGCATAAGATATATGAACAGCGTGTTTATGTATTTCATATATAATGTATATAAATTATATATATGATTGTATATGAGCGTGTGTATAGAAATCCAAGATCAAGAAGACTATTGTATAGGTCAACAATGTACACCTAGAAGGGGGTGGTTGCACCAGAGGAGAAACAGAGAAGGAGAGAAAAAAACCGAACCTTGCAAGATAGGACAATGGAACCGGTATATCATGGCTCCTACCCCCGCACTTGCACACATACACACACGTATACGCACTTGTCACGTGTTATTGTTATTTATAACAATAATAGTAACGACTGGCATTGTGTTTGTAGTTTAAAAGTATAGGCCACTGTTCCCTTCATAAAAAGAATATATATATATTTTAAAAAGAAAACACTTAGGTACATGCATCTCAAAGCTTGGGCAGTGTTTTACCACAAGTTCTTCCGGCCGTCGGGAAATAAACAAGTATTTACTCACAACAATCCATTTTCAAAATTGTGGTTAGTGAATAAATAAACCTTTACACAATGTAAGCTAAAAAATAGCTTTTGGATGTTATAATGAGCCCATTTATATGCAGAAAGCATACAATATGAATCGTTATAGTCGTTTTATATCAATGTCTTAGCAATAATAATCTGCACAGTTAGAACGAAAGTATCATGATGATAATAGATTGGACCAACTAGTATGTTACTACATTATTATACAAGTGTATATATAATGTGTTACTTTGTTTTATTCTTAGTTCAATGCTATGTATTATAGTTTATATAGTTTGATTATTATTGCATGATATATATATATATATATATATATATATATATTTGATTATATTATTATTTCTATCACGATTCAAGAGCAAATTTGTTTGGAACTATGGAAGTTTATATAATGTATGTCTAGGTCTGCAGTACACAAGTGATCTGGAGACTTTAACGGCAGTATAAGACGTTGCGGCATATGCGGATAATGTTTGGAAAACGCCCACTTTATGTTTTCCGTAACAGTATGATATAAGTAAATCCTAACGTTTGAAAATATTCTGAATTTGGTGACATGAAGAAGAAAACAACAAACATACATCTTGAGTGCAGATAATATAATACTCGACGGTTTATACGTGTACATCTGCGGGTCGTACCAAATAGGCCGTGCGCGAGTGTTTATTATACAAGTATATTGTAATGGTGTATGCTACCTCCACAAAACGCCTACAATGTTTTTTGGAAGAAACAACATGTGCGTGTGTGTACATGTATCCACGCACGCGTGCGCGTGTATATGAGTATCGACATTGTGAAATATAATTACAGTAAGAAAACGCAAATACACTTATGTAAATATTTAATAACAGTCCTGGAAAAAGAATATAATATAGATATGCGAAGTATATGAATAACGAACGAACCAGTGTACAACGAGCAGTTGGTTTAAAATATATTTTCGGATTATGAGTTTGGACGTACTTATGTTACTGCGGTGCGCCAACAGATTTCAATCATAACCATATACACTCGAGCGTACCCGACCAAAAACGACGTCGCATATACAGCAGTTTTCCGAAATAACAAAATGTAATCGGAGAAACGACTAAAACGCGTCATCGACCTATAACATCGAAGAATTATATTGCCACGAAAACACTCGAACGAGTATCATATCGTATCATTAATACTATCACACATGAAAGCGAGCATGATAGCGAGACGTTTGAAGTGGTGCCCGCCTGTAATCGTTTATATTACAGCGTACATAATATTCATACGTACGACACGCAGTGCGAAAATCACGACCACCTGGTTGTACGCACTTGTCGAGATGGTGCTTCTAAATCGGTAGATAATAGACACATGGTTTCCGAAGAGAGAGAGAGAGAAAAATTGGTCGTAAACGCGTAAGTAGAAGAGCGCGACAAGGGAATATTGTAATACATACTCGCGGTGCGTGAAAGTGTTTTAGCGTTTTTAAACCCAATGCTGCGGAAAACCCAATAGTGTATTTGTGATCACGTCTATCTGTTCGTAATATATGTATATGATTCCACGATCATGTACGGTAGTATAAAAATGGACTTACCTCCTGTATTATACATGCATGTGTGGTATGTATATTATAATACACGTCGATTTATCAGACGAGTTAAGCACCGCTGCGGCCGTCGGTCGCGCGAAATTCGATAGTAGAGAAAAACAATCCGCACAAAACTATCGAATACTTTTTGGATTTACCGAACGACGACGGTAGACACCCGAGAGAGAGAGAGAGAGAGAGAGAGAGAGAGAACGAAAACGATAATTATCACGACGACGCGGTTTTTTGTTAAAATTCGTCGGGGACGTATGGACGACGCACCGACGGATCGGGTCGCGGACACGGACTGAAGAGCGCGCGCGCGGTCGAAGGAGGCTGCGGCACGGCGGCGGATTGGTTCTGGCACGCGCGTTGGTGGGTAGGAGTGATGAGAAACCGCGTCGTCCGACCGTATAAAACGCGTACGCACGCACTCGCGCGACAAACATCACCACCAGGTATGCGCCGGCCAGGTAAGCGGCTTGCGGTGGTGCGCGTGCGCGCGTCGTCGAATGGCGACGGTGGGTGTACGACGCCGCGCGTGTATTGTAATGCACTACAACCACCGTGCACGGCCGGGTCGAGTGTTTACGGTTCCTAACACCGAGTCGCGGGTACACCTACCACCTACCAGCGGCAGCAGCAGCAGTGTCCGTATAACGTATATAACCCATACGTAACCACCGCCGCCGTCGCGATCACCTATTCCGCGTTGTACACAAGTGTTGCGCGCGCGAGGGGACGCGTGCCCCCGCCACCGACCGATCTTTGGCCGCGTGTTTGCAAGCCGCGCGCGCGCGTCCATCTCGAGAGTGTTGTTACGCACTTGACGCGGCGACGGCTGCCGACCACGACACGTCCAAAATGTCAACAGTACCGTGTACGCACGACGACGTTTGTTTGTACAAATAATCGAACGATAATAATAATCATAATCTGCTGCTGATAACTGTTGTTTACGTAGGATAATACTACACCGTATCATGTGTTGACGGTGTGAACCCTTTTAACAATATAATCTCCCATATCGCACGTACACGTTACATGTATTACACGCCGTGTACAGTCGACGAGACTGGTGGTACAATGCACGAGATTGTTTTTTTTTTCTTTAGGATTTTTGCCGATGGCAAATTACAATACATTTTGATTATATTATTTTACATCGACAACATTTTATTGTTAAATATTGAATAATTACTCAACAAATTATTCACGAAATTACTGTTACTTCATTCGAACGATTTACAAACGTAAATTTTGTTTTGTTTACCTTCGATTAGCAAATTTGCCGGGTATAACAGCCAAGTAAAGGTAGTTGGGTGGCCTCCCGGTAAGACTTAAATCCAACATTGGACAAAACGGTAGAAAAGTCGCAAAACTTAGGTCGGATTAACACGTCTCACGTTTTATGTCTCTGTGAGCACGATCGATGGAACAATGAACACACTCACATACAACCCACGGCGGCGGTGGTTTGGTTAAACGCGCGTGTCAAAGAATTTTGAGTAGAGAAAAACTCTAATCCCTCTAATTACTACTTTTTGTATATCAATGTTCACGCGTCTGAGACGGTCGTTTATTCTTTTCGGCATCGTGACTATGGAATAAACAAATTATAAGGTTCACCGAGACAATAACAACAACAAAAAACGCCATATATTGTGCGTTCGAGTTGAAAATTATCACCTTGTGCATTGCTGTAATAATATTATACTTTCCGCGTAATGTTATTAGAAACCATATATTACATACAAGTAGAAAAATTCTTCAGAGAAGTAAGAAAGGGCTGCGTCTTATCATGAATTCACGAGTACATAGCATATATTATTATACTAATATAATTACTAATACTTTTATGAGAAACAAGGATTTTTATAGTATTTACCTGCCTCCAGACGATAACATCGATATACGATTGTTATTAAAACGACTTACACACGTATGTACAACGTTTTTTAAACGAGAACACTTATAATACAGCCCGAGTGCGGGCCACCAGTTATTATTTGTGTACCGCAGTCGACACGGAAAAACGAAAAAACGCGACGAGGTTACTACTACTCGTACATGTACATATATGAAATATATGAGAAGCACATTATTATTTAACGTTACAATCTTATCACGTATAACTATATAGTCTACGGAGTTCATCTGTAGAGACCAGGAGAACACATCGTACATCTGATTAAAAGGGACAGATGGATAATTACAACTATAACAAGTTATGTTTTAAAACATACACCGAACACACCTGTATTAGATAAACACTGGACGAAACGTACATATTTTTGAGAAACCTTACGTAGTATACTTAATTGTCAGTAATAATACACTGTCGTTGTTATAATTTATAGTAAAAAAGTGTCTGATCACCTCGAGAACCTACAGAAGTCGAGTCAAAACTAAGAATGCCTACATAACAACGTCATACCTGGCACGGGCCTAAACACACCTGACATGCGTGCATATAAAACATATACCATGTGCACAGTCGTATTATTATTATTATACGTAGTTCTAGCAGTTGGGCATGCCGAGTGAAAGATGACTGTTCGAATAACGTTTAATATTATAACTTCAAAACTCATTGGAACGTTTAACGACGACGAGTATCGAAGAATGTTTTTCATCATCGTGCACTGCTTTACACACGCACATTCTAGTCCAACATTCCTTATCTATACGTGATGTAGTCGTATTTAATGTGTTATGTTATATTGGTGCGCGTCGATCTACAGAACTGCTGACCACGGCATATCAATAACTAATAATTGACAGCGTATGCATACATAATTTTAATTAGATGCTAATCGGATTAAACGAGTTACAAGTTGTGTGTAAACCAAGTGTACGTTTTAAATACATTTATACATTTATATATATATATATATATATATATGATATACCGTAATAAATTTATATTTTTTTACGGTTCAAATAACTGCGCGGCCGGTTGTCCGTCGAATATTTTTCACGCGTTCGCGGAGTTCGGCTCCCAATCTGCAGGCAAAAAGGCATTTTTGGGGGCCGCCCACAACACGCACTCAGTTTTTATCTGATACCAAGTGCGGTGTACACACACTTTTGCGTGAAGATGCATAAGGAGGGAACGCGCATGTGTTGTTGTAGTGCAGTGAATTAAGCAGTGGGAGAATGGCATGAACAGCGGAAGGGAGACGGAGAAAGAGAGAGAAAGAGAACAACGTTTAACTAACGAAATACACTCAAATATATAGATGGTTTGTAAAAAATTACACGTCAAAGATGCCGTCACGTGCTTATATATATGATAAAAAAAAAAACTACGTAATTATAATGGATTGTTTACCTGGTAATTTAGAAGACCACTTGTCCGGAACATGTCCACAGCAATATATATATAGAAAGAAAATGAGAGAGAAAGAGGTACGAAGGTAGGTACTTATAAATTAAAGGAGTTGCAAAGAGATTTTTTGGCAGAGAAATATGGCTTACTTCATTATTGTTTCTTACCTGTAAAATAAATAATAATCGAGTTAAATACAATTCATTTGTGTACAATGAAATACAATTTTAATAATTATAAGATAAATAGTATTGTGTTATACAAATTATACATGTTTTGGTGGTCTCATTATGTTTTATACGTTTAGATTATTGTTTACATTTATTTTAAATGAAATATGTATATTAGTTGAGAAAACATTTCATAAAAAAGTAGCGTCTTATTTTTAATTTGTTGTTTAAAAATTTTTTAAAATAAAATGTCATATCAACAAAGATGTGTTGTTCAGTATTTACTGAAAAAAATCACACGTATACCATTTTGTGGTTTTAATTTGACCGAAACAAATGAATATTAGTATAGGTTTTAAAACGATTGATAACCGTGTTTACGAAACCATAACTCGACGTCTTGCATCCATCCATCAAGTAAAAATACAAGTTTTTTTTCGTTGTCAACAGTTTTATTGTTTAGTTTTATTGCTAGAGACAGGGAAAAAATAGCTCACATTTGCTTTTTGACAGATTGGTAAACTGATATTGAACCAAAAATGGTCTAGACCGAATTTATAACACAGCCGTTTAATATATTTTAAAGATTTTTTGACTGATATGTGTATACCTTTTCAGTTTTTTATTTATAATCTAATGAATTTTAATAATTAAAATTCATTTTTGTAAAGAAAAAACACATATAATTATACTATAAGTTATAAGATTATATGTATTAACAAAAAACAATAATATACAACAGTATTCATTGAATGCTTTTTAATTTTTCAATATTAGTTGTTGAATCTGTCAGTATTTGATAATGTCTATAAAGAAATCCCGGAGGATATTGAGTATGTTATTTTTGCAAGCGAAATGATACCTTTTATTGTGATACACGAACGAAATTTTAAGAGGGTTTTCAACCCTGAAGCAGTACCTAGAAAAGAATTGATAATCCTAAAAATCCTTTAGATATCTTTTCAATCAAGTGTAGTCTGAACCCTACTAAAGGACTCTTGTGTGCGAACATGCCGATACAGTATTTGTGAGAGAAAAAAATAACCATTATTCATACATCTCGTACATAGTAGGTAGTCACTATAATATATTTTTAACATACCAATATAATCGATAATACTACATCAAGAACAACATTTGGCAAACAAAAACTCAAATAAAACCATTTATAAAATTTGTATTCACTGAAGACGTTTTCTCGAAGAAAATAGTACACAAGAAAAGAAGATAAGAGTACATTTTAAAAAAGATAATATTTTCGTCAAAAATTATAATATTAAAATAATTGCATACCTACTGAAAATGTTATAGTTAAATGTACATAATTATTTAGAGTTGTTACACATGTAATACTTCGATAGTTAATATTTGTATGAATAATGGAGACAACTTTTGATTAAAAATTACCGAGTCGTATTGTACCACAGAAAAAATTTGCATTTTCTCGTTATTTAAACTAATTGTGATCGTGAACTTTTTAATTAATACCTAATTATAATACTAGATCCTAATAACTAATTTTTCACTTTTTTTAGTTTTAATATAGAATTTCTTATGTTTCCTTTGGTAATCACCTTCTTGTGAACCTCTATTTAACATACTGTATTGCAAAATACGAGATATTTATTTTTTTACATTTTATAATTTTTTAAATAGCATTACAGGTCATTTAGGTCCTTTGCTGTTACTTTAAAATTATTTCACTCCTCTCTATTATACGCATGGTTCATGTCTCCATCCCAATCAATTTTTTCATAAGTTTTATAAATACTTTCAATTGAATAATTCTATTTAATTTTCCATTACTAATTATAGTTTTACATTTAACTATCATACTTTGTTTAAAAAAGTTCATGCATATATTATACTATTCTTGAATTAGTTTTCATAATATGCGTGTTCACATAATATCTTATGTATATAAAATATTGAAGTCAAAAGT